CCAATTCGGTGAATGAATTGCCGCCAGTCCGTCATAAAGTCCGTTAACTTTGTTCCATGTATACGAAACGTGAATTTTTTCTTTGTTTGGCCATTGGAATTCAACAAGACCCAAGTATGGATGGTTGCGATATCGCGCCTCAGTCTTCATGAGGTAAACTTTATTCATGACCTGAGCTGTGTGACTTGAATCTATGCTCCCATCGCTCAGTTGCATTTGATTTACGGTAGAAAACATCAGCTTTGTTCTTCGCCGCAGTGTGAATGTATTATTTATTCCATGCCTGTTGTGCATGTGTTCTGCAAACAATTCTACATTTGGAAGAATATTTCCAGCTTGCGTAGACCTTAGATAAAATGTTCCTCGTTCCATACTTAGTGCATAACCCGAAGAAAATTCTAATTTTAAAGAACGTTTACCTGATGTGGAATGCAGGCGAGTTATTATATCTGACGGTGTACTACTGTGATTCCAAGAGGAGCGGAATTTTCTGGAAAATACTGCGCATGAAATATGACCAGAATTAAGCATTTGCCATCCGTGTTGCTCATGAATCATTCCTCCTTCGTATGTGATACCATAGCCATTTCGTAGTAATCTGAAATTACTGTTAAATCTCCTTCCATCATCAGCATGTTTCCCTGTGATTATGATCGAATCAAGACTAGGAAATGTTGACTTGACAGCGAAGGTCCCGCTTATATCTCTAAGATATCTCGTCCACGTGTTGAACCCTCTCAGATTAACTTGAATACTATTTCTATTCCAGAAAAACTTTGTCATGGTGGAAAGGTCGCGTTCAAAGACATGCATGCATTCCAGTGTAAGAATTTGGAAATTTTTCAACGTCGATTTTAAACTTATTTCACCTACAACGTAAGACAAAGTTATCGGTTTCCTTATTGTAAAGGATGCGGCCAGTTTCTTTCCAGATTTTGTGTGCACATTAAAGTTAGTTAGATATCGTTCTCGATCAGAAATATAAGTGTTAGTCATTGATATAACTCGATAGCCCCTGAAGCGAGATTTAATTGTAAGTACTCCTTTGACATGTATGTTTCCATTTATTCCATCATTACGAAAAGTTCCATTAATTACTACACCTTTGAGAAATCCCCACTGAATATGGATATGTGACCGAAAATTGAAGTTTCCATGTTGGTTGAAATCGGTCTCAAGTTGACCTAGTGGCGATGTTTTCGAAACAGAAAAGCCCATATTTTCAACGTTAAACAAAGCTAATAAATGTAGACGCCGTTCTGGGTTGTTTGATACAGTCCACATGGCATTGGTTCGCACTGTGTATAAAGGATGTCTGGGAAGGAAGTTGGCTTCCAATACTAAATGTGTGGATGGGAATTTGATAGATGTAGTCAGTATCGTTTCTCTTCCTTCATTTTCAAACTGAATTGCATTAGACAATGTATATTTCCTACCCGCTAAAGACAATTCAGACGTTGTACTCATGTTGGTTATGTCCATAAGATAACTTCCGGAAAAGCGCACCCGACTGAAATCTGCAAAATTAACGTCGATGGCACAACGAATTTGTCGTTTTGATGGCATCCGAAATATTGCGGATATAGTATTTTTCTTTCTAGGCTCCCATTCAGCAGTCATTTTGTTTGTGTATACACCATTATCACTTTCGAATAAATCGTTGCCGACTTTTACAATTCGTCCACGGTACGATAGCAAGAGAGACCCAAAACGCGTCTTTCTTGGAAGATTCCCTTTCTTCAATCTAATTGTTAATGAAAATGGCTCAGCGTTGTTCAACATATAGCTAATTGAACTTTCTAATGATCTGTCGTTGTGTGTGTGGCCAGCCAGGAATCGTAATGCTATGTCCTATCAGGAAATATAGATATGTAAAATTATTGAAAACATTTATAGCCAGTATCTAAACATGGTCTTTTCTTTTAGAGTTGTTCCTTACGGGGACTGAAAAGACACTTTCTACGAATCTCAACATTCATTATATATATTAGTGTGATTTTGCAGATACAGTCCAGAAAGAAACTTTGGGTTATCGGTTATTTGCAGAATTAGTTACAGATTATCAAGAATAATTATGAAAAACAATTTGACATTGCAATCTAATTTAATATCTAATAAACGAACCAGATATGGCAAGTATTTAATTTAGATTACCTTGGCAGGGTGGCGATACGTTGAATTAACAGATAAGGTTGGTTCTGACCAAGTCAATCGATGGATCACAGTTGTAGACAATGTTACAATGCGGTCGGTGTTTGTCGAGTCCTCCCCATACCTTACGTCAATCCCAACTTTTGTGTTTCTCGCATTATGTGTAATGTCCAAGCTGACATCAATGTTATAGTGAGTTCTCTTCTTAAATTGTACATTTCTGAAGTGCAAATAAAGGAATGAATAGAAATGAATCCATTATCATTATAGTATGTTTATGTGAAGTAACATCATGCCCGTTAGCAAACCCAAAACTGATGTTTTCGCCTGCATACACATACAGTGTAAGAATTGTGTAATTATTCAATGGAATTGTTCTTTATAGATATTTGTGAACATTTTCTTTCTTTTTTTTATATCGGCATCTTCACTCAGATTGTCAAGAAAGAAAATTAGAATCGATGCTCATTGTATGAATTTTTTCTAGCATGAAAAGTATTTGTATGAAAGAACAGGCAAAATACACATTCGAGTATCCCATACAGGAATCGAACGTGGGTTCCAGGCGTGATAGTTGACTGGCAAAGAAGCATGCTCTGTCAGCTGAATGAAAGAGATCGTATTTAACACTACATATACTTCACAACGATCTGCTCCTTTTTACATTCGAAATATCAACGGAAATGAATTGATAAACGTGTCACATTACTAACTAAGTTCTAAAAGATTCAGAGAGCTTCTAAACGATTGGATTCATTTATATATACCTCAGTTGGGAATTGACTTTCAGCTATCCATTTATGTATTACAAGATTTTCTTGATGCTGGATTCTGGATTTGTTTGTGTCACAGCATTGCAATAAATATTAAGTAAAAAATTGAAGAATTGTGATTTAAACAATAAGAGTAGACATAGACATGTTTACTTAATTTCTTTCTATTTCAATTCTATTTAATGTCTTTGGTGTCAACATATGTCACGTGATAATTTATAACTGTGTATTAACCATGTAAATAGTGATTTGATGACATACCAATGATGATGCTTCAATGATACCTATTGCTTCATCCGTTTGCGATATAACAAATAGGCGTACTTTAGAAAATTACTGTCTAAATGAATCCGACATATCATTTGTTAAATTGCCAGAAAAAAATTAAATGAAAAATATAAGAATGTTAAAATTTAACATCATTTGAATTATTAAATGCAGAAACGATAGTTTCATCGTTTCCCAAAGAACAGAATTCAACAACTTTTTGTGCAAAACATCTTTTAAAATTCTAAAACACTTAAAAGACATCTTTAAACTCATTCTTTCTATAGTTTATCAATTTCTATGTAAATCTTGTTTCTTTCCTAAGGAAAATTACTATTAAGTATACTTACAATGTACCCATGACTTCTGTTAAGTATTTACTCCTAGCAACGTTTCCTTTTCCATTTATGGTGATTTTATCGCTGATTACTGTCGGAATGATGTAGTCAATCGATGAACGTGTTACAAGAGTTCTCCCGTCCCTCACTACTACGCTAGACTGTATTTTAGATTTCATATATGCGCTTGCAATATCGACCTTTGTTTCGTATCTTTTGTTTTTTGCACTTCCGATCTTTCTTACCCTGCCTAATAAATAAAATAATAGCTTGTTAAGTATTAATCGAATGTTACAATACCAAATGATTATCACAATGTAATGATCAGTAACTTAACATGAATATTTGATAAACATGAGTTTAGCTTACTGCCCTCTCCAATGTTCTGGTATATATTTGTGAATGTTCATGTCTAAATATTTTATATAGGGTATATGCAGTAACCACTTAATCAATGTTACTGAGAGACAAAAATGTTTTACCTGCGATTTATTACATTTTATACGAAATCTAATAAGTGTCAATGAAAAAAAAAAAAAAAAAACAGTCGTAATAATGTGAAAAATGATGTAAAATAATTACGTGAATTTAACATTTTTCACGGAAAACACGCAATTTCGTATAAAAAAAAACCCCGCTCATTAACGCATACTAACTCATACTATATAACGTGCTAATTAAGATAACAACATCATTTCTATTAAAATGCGACAATACATATTAACCAAATCGGCTTTCTAAATCTTAAAAGCTTTTACAAGGTCTTACATCAGCATACAGTATCCCAAAAGACTTGAAAACCGATTAGACTTCCGATGGTGTATATAGAAAATGCAAAGTGCAAGCTAATAATATATCAATGATGCATCTCCAAGTACATTTACACACTTATGTTATATGAAGATAAACTTACAAAACAAGGAAACATTTTCTTTGAAGATCTTCCGTAAACTGATGCCGACGGTGGCGGTTCTTCCAGCCCTGTACTCAGCTGACCCATCAAATATAAAAACCTCTCTCTCTGGTGACCGGAAGTACATATATGGTCTGAATTTCACTGCTCTATTGCTTGATATTTTATGGAGTCCGGCACTAGCCCTGTACATCTTCCCTGGCTCGAAACTTATGCTAGCAAGTATTGATCGAATCATGCTTTTGCTGTGTAATGTAACTGTGTCAAATGAGAAACAAATTTAACGTTATTACTTAAAGACATTACACTGATCGACTAGATGAAAACAACGATACTCATGAAAATAAATACTGATAACCTGAAACATGTAAAAAAAAAATCTCATGTCTTCTTAAGTTCAAATCTGGTAATTGTCGTAATTATCTGGTGATTGTTAATAGGATGTTTATATAAAGTGGTAATTAAGATAGGTTACGTCAGCACGCTGTTAACTTTTTAGAAACTATTGTGCTTCTGCTAAGGAAAGGCAAGTTCACCATTATAAAATCTAATGTCAATTCATTGTGACAAACCTTTAGTCGTTACTGGCGATGTCGTTATACCAGAGAGCATCATATCCATGTCAATGGTTTTAAATGGTAGGTAGACAATTTTGCCTTCGAGTCTGATAGGGTCACGTGTAGGAAGACGAAGTTCAAAGGTTGGTGTGTAAATAATGGAATGTCCTCGACGACTGCGAAGAAGTTCAGCATTTACATAATAATCGTGACTGGAATCAAGAGATAATCTGCCGAAAACCCGCCTCAACGAACGACTATTTTGTAAAGCACCTATTAAAAAAAAAGAATATTTATGTAATATCAGTATCTAATCGATACATACTTGTCTATCAAACGTAATAATAACAATATTAAATTTAATTACATTTGGCATAACATATTTATTTATTCTCTTAGCATCATGTTCGTTTCGAGAGACCGTATTTCTAAATTTAATCATATTTTCTGTGGTCGTTACGCAATAGTCAGAATGTTATTCCGGAAGTTGAAAGAAAACTTGTCAAAATGAGCACACAACTAAACAAGTCTACATACACTATATCCTGTATTCTATTTTACTTGTGCACACCAGGTACACTGCATACTTAACGGAATTAACAGACAGAAAATACTATAAGAAATTCACACCAAACGTCTAACATAAAATTGCACTCTTAAAGCATCATTTATGATCTATTCGGGTTTATTATTTTTTAGAAAGATAACACACTAATTGTAGATTATTAATATGCTCAAAAACTCGATTAAGTATTTCAAATAAGGTAAGATAATTTTTTCGAGAGTATCCGTTTACATACGCTGAACCTAAGACGATTAACCTATAAATAGCATATGATGTTTTACCTAAATACATAACGATCACATAACAATAAGAATACTCACCGTTGAATGTTGCTTTTTTCCATGGTGAGAATATGTTCAAGGTAAAAGATGGGTCTATCTTATCCATGGCGAAATCGGCTCCAATACGACGATCTATGTCTGATCCAGGACTGTTAATTTCTAGATGTAATGTTACTGCTTGTCTTGTCTGAAAGCGATTATAAAAAAAAACTTCCATGTTTGTACAGCAAAACAATCTTCATATGCATAGCAGGTTATGAATTTACTGGACAATTTTGTAAGTATTCATACAATTTATATTTATAATTATGGTGTTTATAGGACGAACTCTGCCAAATTTGAGACTAATGCTAATGCTTCGCCATATACTTTTATTCATATATATAATCAGGAAAATATTAACATGGCAACATAATCGTAATTCAAACTCAAATTCCATAAAACTAGGGCAAGCTATGAACAAAAGAAAGATATACGCGGAGACTCCTCAAATGTACAAGAAGAATGGGATCATGTGTTCCGGAAGAGTAAGCGTCTTCTGCTTCATCAAAGACATTCGCCATGTAATCCTTGGTCAATCCAAGTAAGTAATGTCACGTTTTAAAATGAAAACAAAGTTATGTACAACACCGCTTTACTTTACAAACATATTGGAATTTTCTGTTTACCACAGATCACAAAGAAGCATTCTAGGTTTGTACTGTCCAAAGCGCGGATAATTTTCACAAGAGTTGGTTGCATTCACTACCATCTTAGCTCTTATTTAAGATATTTAAAAGATATCCATATTCACAACAATTAGATATGGATTTGCATTTTCTTCTTTTCTGTAGAAACAAATTTTGATGTTGCAGAAAAACTTTAAGATATGTTTCTTAAATTCTGAAGTCAAATATGGGCATTCAGTATTCAGTACATCAAAGCCCTTGTCATCACCCACAATTGCTGTGAATCTAAATGATGTTATGAAGGCAAATAGAAACCAAGGTCAGTAATATCCGAAGCACAATGCATACTGACGAGTTTTGACATATATCTATGAAATATTCCATGGCCTGATTAAAATTGCTTCTTTTTGCTTTCCAAAGTGGAACTTTATGGACACGCACTACTTCCAAATTATTTCAAATTAAGATATTGTATTGTTACCTTTATAAACCTGGCTGCTAGTTTGTACCCCGACATGTTGTCCATCTTTAGTAAATGTATTTTTATATTTGATGATCCGGCCTGTAGAAAAGGTGGCACATCTTTCAGAAGTGAAGTATTTAGAAATTCCAACTCGCTACATAGTTGAAGACCACTTAACGTTGAGACCAAATCCCCGGTACAAAGGCGTTGGGATTGTTTGTTTTTTGTAATTATGATCTCTTCCCTGTGACTATCGTTCTTGATAAGAAAGAACGCCGTTCTGAAGTAACAAACAAAAACCCATGGTTGTTTTACTCGTACGATATCAAACGCTTGTACAAAGAAACAAGTAAAAAAACTTTTTTCAGTTAAAATAAGAGTCACATAAATTAAAAGAAATACAAAATACTGCTATTATCTTTCAAAAGAAATATATTTAAAAGAATTAAAATTTTGCAATCTAGATGTAAAATACCTCTAATATGTGTATCATTATTTCATTGATAAAATAGCGAAAATAGCATACTCGTAAAAATAATCAGCCATACGTTATTAGTTGTAAGACTGATTTTATTAACTTACTTGAAATTGACTATTTCAATTTTTTCACGCGGCATGTCGAGTTCAAGATCTACGTTTCGGCCTTCAACGTATTCGATTTTACCCTGTAAGACTGTACTAGTGTGTATATTTGATACAGCATGAATTCCGCTTCTTGTCACGAAGGCATCCAACGTCATCGAGCCCGATATTTCTAACGCAGCGCTGAAATCAGTTAAATAAAAGCATAAATAATTATCTGTGTTTAATAGATATAGAAATGAATTAATGAATAAATAATTATAAAGTAACGAAATAAATAATATACATTTTTGTAATGCAGAATGCTCCTTCTTTCAAGAATTACCGTACACACATACTTTTCCTGTCCTGTCCTTGAATATATTTGTCATTGTCAAAACTAGCACATCCCACACCTCGCGATATCGTCACCTTTTCTTGACCGAATTGTCGGCATTATGAATTAATCTGACAAATTGTAGAATCTTCTTATATATGTATTTGAATACAACTTCTCTACAAGATATTATGCTGTACAAATCCATATGAAGCATAGCAATTCACTATGGAAAACATTAAATTCACTATCAAATTGTCAATCATCACTACTGTATAGATAAACAATAGATATATTGTTCCACTGACGACACATCTCGCATAACCTTGCTTGATAGCCAGGCTGTTATGAGCTTTTGCGAATCATAGAGGATTGTTAACCAAGAGGAACTGAAAGGTTTCTCTAAGATCAAACCAGTTGAAAAATAAACGCAATATCATTCAGTAATTATTAATTAATTACCAAAACCTGACATCAGCCCCAGCATTACGATTCTACATCAGAGGATACCTGTTTCATCATTTTAAAATGTACCTCGGTTGAATGGCTCCATTTATAGAAACACTTCTTGGGCTAGTGATGAGCTTCCTTATGTCCATCTTTCCTGAAACCTTCACATCAATTGAAACAACTCCATTGACGGTCAGACTTAACGGGAACCCAGCACAAGTCGGTACGGAAAATCTGCTATCCAGAAATTGGACATTTTGTGTTTTAGTGTATTCCTGGTTCTTAGACATACTGATCAACATTTCAAGAATGTTAAACTCCTCACCAAATATTGATGTTCCTTCACTAAGAGTAGTGTAGCCAAGCTCCTGTCCAAACACTCTCACATAAAAAGCTCCTTTTACTTTCTTGACACGTGGTAACTAGCAGCATAAAAAGTTGTGTGTCATTAGAACGCAAGTCATAAGATATTTTATGATGTAAAGTATTTATTTTGCCCTATTTATGTTAGTAATTAGCATTTTTAACTTACCCAAGGGGCACTGTTTAATTACTGTTTTTGAAGTTCGAAGCGCTGACATTAGTAAAACATTTTGGTTGTGTATATGACTAACCTAGCCAATTTACTTACTAATTTCCGAAATAATTCTTTGCTTAGCTGCCATTACTTACATTATCATTCTGCAGTTTCTAGATTAAGACTGCCATGTTTTAACAGAAACCATTTGTAAATGAAACAACTTTTACACATACCTTGCTTCCAATATCCATCATTTTTTTAAATGTCATAGATTTTGTGATCTGTCGAGCAAAGTCGTTGCCAGCACCATCAGAAAAATATCCATTGGGGCCAAAATAAGATTCCAGAAAAGCATCCAAGCCTTCGAACCTTCCGGCAATATCAAGGAGGTTCACAGATCGTCCAAATAAGTCAATTGTTAGATTTGCACTCATTGACCGTGGAACGAAAGATGACGGTGTCCACACAACATTACTTTCAAATGATGAACCAATATTGTATTGCTGAAGAAAAATAGATTTTTCAAAGTTATGGGAAAACTTTGTTTTGTCAAGATTGAACTTGTTTCCAAGTTGAAATGTTGACAGAATGTTTCTTATCCCCTGCTTATGGCGGTTTGATGTTTCATTTAGGTTAGTGAGATGAGACAATACGAACGATCCGACTTGATTAACCTGTTCTACTTCCAATGTTGTGTTGATGATGTCGATGGTATCAGTATCAGCACATTTGATCGCTGCGAGATATGAGGTGATTCGAAGCTCTGGATCCTCCGTCATGTTTGTGAACATCATCAACAGGTGAGAACGCTGAGAATAAAAGTAAGCTTCCAATGATGAACAATGAGGTTTTACTAAACATTGTGCTCTGATAAGCAATATGCAAGAAAGAATATTAACTGAAAGAACCTAGTAAAAATCAATATATTTCTTTCAAACTGAAATCTTTAAGTTAAAAGAATCATTAGTATAATTACTTCGACGAAATAGATATAAACATTTCACCTCCTTATTATGCAATTAGAAGATAAATATATGCTCTAGATGTACAGGCAGACTGTGAAAAAAATGTTTATCCTTATACCGTAATTTCACAGGGAAATTGACGAAAGGCATCGATTGCAGCAAGTCGAACTTCAATCGGGTTTTCTGATCTTGCTAAACAGCTGTTGATTATCTGTACGGTTTGGTTTGGCTGTCCGGTGTTGCCGATGGCACGAAGACTCAGTATAGTCTGTAGTATGGAAAGCATCTAAGTTTCAAACGTTTTAAAGCATTTTCGTATTAACTTTTAGCGACCAAAAAGCATGACTATGATATTTCAAACGAAAGATATGCAGGTATGATATATAGAAACCGTATTCAAGAAACTTACCAATCGTATGTTGCCATCATCTACAGAACATCCAGCTGCAATATTGTTCTGTAGTGCAGCCATTATGTTATGAATATCCACATCCCCATCACACGGTGTACTTCTGCAATAGGTATGGACGAGAGATGACACTGGTAGAAGTGCCTTTCCACTACGCAGAGACAAGAGCGGCTGTAGAGAAACAAGAAATCAACAACGTATAAAACATCTAATCCAAACTCAAATATATCAAACGAGGGCGAACTATAGACAAAGCACAAATTTACAAAGAAGATCCTTTAAAATATACAAAGATAACGAAATCAGATTCCCGCTGGTGTTGCTTCATTCGTGACAAACGCCTATATTAGGCTAAACCAGATAATTATCCGCCCTCTCAGATAGGCATACTAACGAACAGTGAACTTCACGACATATAGAATAGAAGCTCTTATAATCAGAAGGAGATTAGTGTGACGTTACAGTGACTACACAGTCACTTTCATGAGACAAATGACCAGTGTTGAGCGAGTTACTATATGAATAAAATGAATAAAGACTTTTATAAGCGAAGTGGTGAAATATCACAGTGTGAGTATAGAGCTTCTTTTCAGCGAACTGGTAGGATGTAAAACAACTCACATTATGAATATAGGTTTCGAACTCGCTACGATAAGGTGTGGTGTGGTCTTTAGTAAGTAGCACATTTGTTTTGTTTTTTAAATGGCTATGTGCATGAGGTTCTAGACTCATTTTTCCTTAATCAATATTTCTGTCTTATTGGTAGATAAAGGCCGCAGGTTTACAATTCCATAATTTCGATTTTTCTGCCAATGAATGTCTTTTGAACGGTTTTTATAACTAAAGTAAAGTATGAAAATGACTGCAATATATATCTAAGTAAGCTATGTCTAAAAATTGGAATGTTGTAATGAAAATTATCAGAAATAAGTGTGAATAAATACTTCTTTCGAGAGACTTAAACCTAGAAAAATATTCTTTAGAATTAATGCTAAGGCTAAAACATTTCACGGTCTTTTCCATGTAGCCAAGGATTTGCAATCGTAATCTGTTTGGCATGGTAAATTCATACTATTAACACTACATTTTCAACCGGTAAACAAGTTAATTGGGAGTAGAATATCATTTCATTCATTTTGGTGTTGATGCGAAAAAGAAATATGCTGGGTTTATAGCGAGTTGAATATCTAGAACCATTTATTTTATTGTTATTTGGAATTGGTTTGATAGAATTATTTTCGAATTTGCTTGCAGCTAAAATAGGAAAGTGTTTTATGGTGTTCCACGCAGCTCGAAAGTTCAGTCCACGATGCCTATAAGTATGTTGTCACGTTGCCTTTTCGTGTCAGCTACATATCATACATTGCTGTAGGTTTACTACTTTTCTCACCGAACTAGTTTTTTTTCTTTCAGTTACGTTCCCACACTGTGAATATTAACGCAAAAATATATATAGCAAGATGATTCAATGATTGATAGTGATTTTTTCTGGTACAAATCATGTGTTGCTGTAATAATACTAAATAGTGTTACTCTCAGCGAATATCGAGCATCCTCTTTTATCGTTTCTACAGTCAAATAACGCTCCGTTTATCAATAATGCATGTACTCATAAATAAATATGTGTAGACGAAATACTGACCGTCAGTTCTTGAAGCATTTGCTTTGACGGAGACTGCATGAATGTCAATGTTGTAAGCAACACGTTAGCTTCTGGCCCCGTGACGTCTTCAGTCATTATTAGTTCCGTCATAAACCGCAGAGCATTAGTACTTCCGGCTAATGGAATGGCATCAAGAAAGAACTTCCTATATAATAAAAAAAGCAATGTGAGTAATTTGGTATAATTTTGAGGGAATTTAATACTTTCATTTCCATTAAACATTTAAAAATAATTTATTCAAAGAAAAAGAAAACAAATAAAAACAAAAAACAAAAAAGTGACTTTACGCGATGCATTTTCAATGCTTATAGTAAAAAATTTGAATGCTTACGGGAAAAAGGAATACCATATAGGGAAAAACGTTATGGTATAAACCTTTGTTTAATCAACATTTGAAAATCTGAGTATTTGAATCCTGATTTTCAATGATGACAATGATAATTTAGCTTTTATCGATAGACTATGATAATTTAACACTTAACGGTAGATAATAATAATATTTTCCTTAATCGTTAGCATCGCGAATAAAACAGCAAAACGTTAAAAACGCTTAGGAAAAGGAACATGTTTATCTTTCCCGTCAATCGATATAACAAATTATGATCAAGCATATGTACCTTACACGGGGATTTTGAACACAAAAACGGCCGTCGCTAAGTTGGCGATAAACGTCTTTAATTGACTGTATGTCGAGGGTTTGCAGCTTATCGACGAGTTTTGAAAACAGAGCTGTGGATTCTGGACGTATGTCAGTATGAGTGTTTTTACATATTTGCTGTAAGACAGTTTCAACATCCTTGACTGTAGTTTTAGGCTCTTCAGTGCCATACTCATACAGCAATGTCCGATGATTTGTGAAAATACCTGATTGTCAAAAATAGTCATTATTAAGTCTTTTTTTAAATTCCTATCGACTATGATTTGAAAACTAATATTCATAAACTTGATTGATTAATTTATTTCTGTCTCAATTTACAATTCGTACTTAACCTTATAATTGAATTGCACGTTCAAATGCAAATTTCAAATTAGATACAGTAGTGTCAAATAAAAAGATGAATTACATTACATTGCCCGTACACCTGTTTTGTTCTTCTAGGGCCTAGCAGTGATACTAAGGGCCTAACTTGCTGAAATGAGTCGAAATCGGAGTAATCAAGCTATTTTACGTTTTTCCCACGCTTAATAATCTGCTTACGTAACAAACTCCTCCGTGATATTTTATATGAATAAAATCAATGTATATTTTCCCTACTTATCTTATTAATGTAGTCGATGTACTTTGTTATTCCATACTTGGTATATCTACATGCATAATGACTTCAATAAATCTTCAAATATATAATACACTGCTGATAGATATATTGCATACCTATATAGAAGACTGACGTTGATAATACATGAGTAAGCCCCATAACATTCTGACACTCCATAAAGCAATATTCTATATTGTAAATTCAAAACGTGAATTATAATTCATGTCGCACACTACGCAAATTGACTTTATTTAAGATTTTTTTTCTTCCTTTTTTCATGTTTTTACCTTGTGCAGTAGCTGTTGGAGTAGTTTCCTGCACAAACTCAAGTATCTGTATGATCTCGGTGGACGTTACCTTCCCCTTACGAGAGAAAGGTTCAAACAAGTGGCTTTCCACACACCTTGCGGAATTCATAAGCCCATCTGAGGATATTTCTTGCTGGCATTGATGTTTACTATTCATCAATGGTAACGACTGGAACTCCTGTGTTAGATCAAAACGCTTACTTTAACAAATTTCAGGATTTGGTTTCTTTGATTAAACGACTGTGCGAATACTTTCTATACTAATAGTATTCGACATATATATCATAGCATAAGGGAATAAAATTTAACAATGTTTATATAGATCATTTCACCACACCTATCTGTGGCCGAAATATGTAATAGGAGTAGAATAAAATATCAATGCCTTAATACGTTATAACAACAACAATAATAATAACTATACTGTTTAAAAAACAGCAAGAGAATACAAGCATGTGAACATAATCATATGTGACATGAAGCTGGGCGTATTTGATATTCGTTAGATTGCCTACTTGTTCCGTTGCTGTAAATTTTGCTCTCATTTGAGAACGCGACAGTACTTACTTGGATTGAACAAGATTTACATAGCGGGTATCGTCGATGTCGCAGAAGACGCTTACTCTGCCAGAACACCTGGTTTTATTCTCCTAATCTTTCTTTTGTTAATATTTTGCCCTAGTTTCATAGAATTGAGTTTAAATTATGATTATGTTGTCATTTTGGTATTTTTTGATGATTTTTCATAATACAAACCCAAGTTCAATAAAATCAGGACATAATATGAACAAAAGAAAGATTTAAGACTTAATATATCGTTTATATTCACACGGAGGACCTTGAAAGGAGCAAGGTCAAGTGTTTCAGAAGAGTCAGAATACTCTGCTCATAGGAAAATATCATCTATCCATAGATGTGTCCGATACACCGTGTCCTTTTCTCATAGTAGTTTTTCATATTTGAGCAAATCTTTCTTCTTGATGTAATTGAGCCCTTGGAAGCAAAAGGAAGTGGTCAAAAGTTTTATTTCATTATACTGTAAAAACATACCGTCGAAGCGCCATATGGGACTCCATGCATGGCTGTACGGATTTCGTGACGACCAGAACACTTTAGAAGATTTTTTGTCTTCTTTACCACGTATCCACTTTGTTGTGACGATATCACGGTGTATTCTGTGTTACATGTACCGGTGACGTCACTCTAACAATGAAAAACACAGTCTCACATCAATTGTAGAAGTATATTATGGTTATGATGTTGTATGAGATGACCAGAAATGTTAAAAATGACTCTCGTTAAAGATATAGTTTCTGTTTTCATACATTTGCATCTCTTTTGAAATATTTGATAGTACCTAACATGGAAGTATCAAAGAAATTTTCAAAAAGAACCACCTTAGAAATTAAGAAATTAATATAATTCTCGAAGAAGCTGTTGAATGTTTGCGATGCACTTTACACATCAAAAAACATGGTCACATTTCTTTTTCATCAAGTTTCAGACTGTTACATGTTTGTGCAGAGAAGGCAGTGTGCACGTATTCATCATCAAACTGAAGTGTCAGTCTACTGATATAATGTTTTACCTCTTTTAATGTCTTATCTTGATTGAAATTCTCCATGCTGTTCTGGAAGACGGACAAAATTCCACGTTTAACATTCAGAACCCATATTGATTCGTTTGGAGACGCACAAATTCGGTCTATGATGCCGTTTTGGAAGGAAAATTTCAGTTCGTGTTGCTCCAGGTCATCTTTGAAACGTTTACTCCCTTCCGACTTCCTTTTAATGTCAGAACGCAAGTCGATTTCGTACAACTGTGTGTTTTCAACCTTTATTAAATAGAGAAAAATTGTCTAAAGTCCTAAAATTTTCGTTTAATATCTATATACTAGTCGTAATACAGAACGTCTTCACAATGACAGCAAAGATTAACGACCCTGAAGACCAACGATTCACAGTGACTGTTCCTCTCAGGGTAACAGTCTCAATGTATCACACAGGAACAGGTAGAATGTAGTATGTTGTACAAGTCATCACGAGGCACCTCCTCTCACAGTGTCACAGTGGTTTATATCAATGAAATACAACTATGCCCATTATTTGGTAACTCAACTTCGGTATAAATACTACCAGAAGACAAAGTCGGGATGCACTAAATTCTCATCTGTGATGACGTGTGTTGTTGTATGTTCTTCTTGTTTTTTTTATTGTTACTAATTAACTAATATCAGTAATGAAATTCGAATGGTTGTTCTATTGAATACAGAGTACCGGAAACAATCAATATTAGATTTTTGTCGTAAGGGCCACAAATCATCAGTTCCAAGCTAATTTCTATTTGATATATATATTACCTTGAGAATAAAATTACACTTGGAAAGTGCCTCCACCAGAACTGTTGCCGTCACCTCAAGGGCAGACGATCCGTCCAATGTTCCTTGCAGTCCAGTAGACGTTTTAACTTTGTAATCATACTCATAAGTTATTCCTGGGCGGTACCCAAACTTGTATGTTTCTGTCAAAAGATAAACACAATGTGAGCATATCTTGCACAAAAGGTATTTGTGTGTCGTAAGACTACAATGATCGCCACTAACTAACACGAGTTATATACGATTTTCGTTGAAGTTGCCTGCATCTGACAGCCAAACTCACAACACAGAGTTTCGAGAGATGCAGGTTGGAGACGATTGTATCCTTACAATTTAAGGTCGTTATAAAGATCTCAACTTCTTTGTGCGATATGGAGCTAGAGGTGTTTGATGCTCATTAGTGTACCTAGTGGTCCCGTTCTTCCTTGTTCTCATCTGGGAACGTGACATTACTTACTTACAATGACAAAATTTACAGTCATGTTAGGCTTCGCGATGAAACAAGAGACCTTTATCCTTCCGGAACATCTTGGTCTTATTCGTCTTCTTCTTTTCCCGAAGTCATATTTTGCCAGAGTTTCAACGAATTTGTGTTTGGATTATGATTCCGATAACATGCTGGTATTTTCTTTGTTGTTTTTAATGAATATCATTATAATAACAAGAGCCAAACAATAATACGTTTAACAATCAATATATCAGTCAAAGACATCAAGGGAGATAACTTCGCAATTTTACAAAGTATTCAAATCAGTTTCAACCAAGCGCTGCAAATTTAATTGCTTTGAAATCATACATTGTAGTGATTACGTAACAAATACATAAACTGTACAAAAATAAAGGTGTCGTGAATTTTTCACCACTATGTCTACAGAAGTATATTCAAATTACCTTCAAGAGATGATATAAATTTCAAAGTATTTTCATCATTTCCAAAATGAAAAGAAATACATAAACAGATGATGAAGTATACCATCCGTTGAAATATGCTCGATAATTTAAAAAATGAAATTTGTTCAATTGCGGTCCATTTCAAATTTACAGTTGCAGTTAAAACAACTTACCCGTACACGTATGAGCACATGTGTCTTTCCCGTTGTCAATAGGACCTATGACAATAAAAACGAAATAAGATCAAGAAATTTTCAGCAGAGGGTAGAATTTCCATATCTACGCAATCCATTTTGTCTCCGACCGTTATGGCATAATCCACTTGTAAATTATTGAACAGCAATAATCTTATTTTGCTTAAGCTGCAATGATTCAAGTTTAAAGATAGATTGTCTATGTCACTGTTAGTCCAGATAAATGTGTAGTAAATTGACAAGGGTTGTAACTCCTAAGGAGGGAAATTGAGCATAACGTGTTTCAATCGGTCTACTTAGCAACTCTCCTTCATCCAGCATTCATTGTAAAGATAAAACCTCTTTCTTAAAGATTTACAGTTCTTTATATAAACGAGGAAGAAAAGTTCAGTGTTTTTATTCTGGGAAGTGGGAACTCTTGTTACTATAATTCATCTATATGAAACTTGAGATGGAAAGTCTATGTGTTTTCCTAACTAGAGATCATTGAATATAGCCATTTGCTTTAATCAGGGATATGCCATTTTCGTTAATCAAATTTGAAAATCAAACATTCATGTTTATTCCGGCTGGTTTTTATTTGATAAATCATCAGCTGCTTTGTGAAAATTATGAAAATCGAATATAAATGTTTGAGTAAGATATTCGGTTTTTTCATTAAGTGATCGGAGAGATCGTACTTTTGTTCAATGCCGTCTCTGTTGGTTGTTAAATTATAACGTTATTTCTTATTATTCCGATGTGCCAAACAAACCTGTGACAGCTTACGATTGCTTAAGATATATATATATTTAATATTCGACAGTAAATGCACACACTGATAACGACAACAACAATGTAAATGCCATCAAGACAACAACTGTAAATAAGAAGACATATCAGTTTGAAGGAACATCGTGATTGTGTCCAAACACAGCATGAGTACGTCCAAACACTAACGTCATGATTACATTCAAACACTGACGCCATGATTACGTCTAAACACAATATGATTACGTTCAAACACTAACGCCAAGATTACATTCAATCACTAAGCCATGATTATATTCAAACACTTAGCCATGATTACATTCAAACATTAACGCCATGATTACATTCAAACACTGACGCCATGATTACATTCAAACACTAAGCCATGATTACATTCAAACATTAACGCCATGATTACATTCAAACACTGACGCCATGATTACATCCAAACATTAACGCCATGATTACGTTCAAACACTGACGCCATGGTTACATCCAAACACTAACGCCCTAATTACGTCGAAACAAAGCATGATTAATTTCAAATATTAACATCATGATTACGTCCAAACACAGTATGATTACGTCCAAACACTAACGCCATGATTACATTCAAACACTAACGCCATGATTACATTCAAACACTAACGCCATGAATACATCCAAACACTAACGCCATGATTACATTCAAACACTAACGCCATGAATACATCCAAACACTAACGTCATGATTACATCCAAACACTAACGTCATGATTACATTCAAACACTAACGCCATGATTACATTCAAACACTAACGCCCTAATTACGTCGAAACAAAGCCTGATTATTTCAAATATTAACGTCATAATTACGTCCAAACACATATTGTTTTTGTCGGATTTTTTGAAACTGATGTGAAGAAAAAACATTCATCTTTTCTATATCATATTTCTCATTTCCAGTACTCACCTGCAAATGCCAGAGATATGATCGCCACCAAAAGTGAAACTACCTGTAGCTTCATTTTACTACCTTGTTTTGAAAAGTATATTAATCCACATGACAAATGTATGTGTTTACGAATAAAGTTCCTTTCGTGGTGTATGGAATACACGTTACTAAGTTTACAATATATGTGAACAAGTGTACTATGATACGAGAGTACAAAAGTCAATAGCCTAATATCAAATAGCCTTATTAATGTTAATGCAATCTATTTTATATAAATATCAAGTTAGGTATTACTTTCCAAATGATGACTGGTTGCAAATAAAGATAATATATACTGAATATTTTCGTCTGCGGAGAAGACATAAAAATATTGTGATGAAAGTGTGATTATTTCAGTAGCTTTTGAAAAATTTGATGTTATCTTTTCACGAAGCTAACAAGGCGTTTTATAAGCTAATTTGTCTTTTTTTTTTTTTTAAATATGAGCACCTTTACGTAAATTTTGAAATAAATGTATCAGCATATTTTAAAAAAATCCAAATACTTAAAGCTAACATAATGGTGAGAATTACTAGGTTGATTACACAAATATACAAATTGTGATACAAATGAAAGATTCTTTTCAAAATGAGTTACTGAATTCATTACGAAAACATCAAAGTAAGATAACAATACTTGGAAAAGCTGCGTTTACTCTATGGTAAGTAATCCTACAATAGGTCATCGATTACACATGATAGCATTATCAAGCCTTTGTTTGACTTGTATCACTACACATCTTAAATCATTATATTTACAATCGTATATTTTTCATTGAATAGGATAGAAATGTTTTGCCATAGATATTTTTGTGTCTGTGTAGTGTTTCTTTCTAATTATTGCCGATATGCAGTACACATTTTAATTCTAATTTTTGGAAATATAAAATTCTGTCTGTGAATGATTTTTCTCATAATCATGAACTTCTTATTGTGAAATCTGATTTCCGAACATGCATTGTACACATGGATGAAAGAGTGTTTCAGTGAGTGTGAGGGTGTTTGTACGTGTGTGGGGCATTAGAAGATAACACGGGACTTATCAAGGAGTAAAACGCAGCATAGTGAATAATGAAGCATTTGTTTGCTAACAGGTCGTCAGTATTTCACTAAATAGAAAACAGATGTTGAGGACACTTCTTTGTCAAACATCACAAAGGAGGGTTTCAATGTATCCAAAAAAGTTAATGTTCCTCTGTGTTATCATTGTTTAAGTCTTAATGTTATCATGGCTTTAGTTCCTCAATGTTATAATTGCTTAAGTTCCTCAATGTTATCATGGCTTTAGTTCCTCAATGTTATCATGGCTTTAGTTCCTCAATGTTATAATTGCTTTAGTTCCTCAATGTTATCATGGCTTTAGTTCCTCAGTGTTATCATGGCCTTAGTTCCTTAATGTTAGCATGGCTTTAGTTCCTCAGTGTTATCATGGCTTTAGTTCCTGAATGTTATCATTGCCTTAGTTCCTCAGGGGTATCATGGCTTTAGTTCCTCAATGTTATCATGGCTTTAGTTCCTCAATGTTATAATTGCTTTAGTTCCCCAGGGGTCTCATGGCTTTAGTTCCTCAATGTTATCATGGCTTTAGTTCCTCAATGTTATCATGGCTTTAGTTCCTGAATGTTATCATTGCCTTAGTTCCTCAATGTTATCATGGCTTTAGTTCCTCAATGTTATCATGGCTTTAGTTCCTCAATGTTATCATGGCTTTAGTTCCTCAATGTTATCATGGCTTTAGTTCCTCAATGTTATAATTGCTTTAGTTCCTCAATGTTATCATGGCTTTAGTTCCTCAGTGTTATCATGGCTTTAGTTCCTCAATGTTATCATGGCTTTAGTTCCTCAGTGTTATCATGGCTTTAGTTCCTCAATGTTATCATGGCTTTAGTTTCCTCAATGTTATCATGGCTTAAGTTCCTCAATGTTATCATGGCTTTAGTTCCTGAATGTTATAATTGCTTTAGTTCCTCAGGGGTATCATGGCTTTAGTTCCTCAATGTTATCATGGCTTTAGTTCCTCAATGTTATCATGGCCTTAGTTCCTCAATGTTATCATGGCTTTAGTTCCTCAATGTTATCATGGCCTTAGTTCCTCAATGTTATCATGGCTTTAGTTCCTGAATGTTATCGTTGCTTTAGTTCCTCAATGTTATCATGGCTTTAGTTCCTCAATGTTATCATGGCTTTAGTTCCTGAATGTTATAATTGCTTTAGTTCCTCAGGGGTATCATGGCTTTAGTTCCTCAATGTTATCATGGCTTTAGTTCCTCAATGTTATCATGGCTTTAGTTCCTCAATGTTATCATGGCTTTAGTTCCTCAATGTTATCATGGCCTTAGTTCCTCAATGTTATCATGGCTTTAGTTCCTCAATGTTATCATGGCCTTAGTTCCTCAATGTTATCATTGCCTTAGTTCCTCAATGGTATCATTGCCTTATCATCATGGCTTTAGTTCCTCAATGTTATCATGGCTTTAGTTCCTCAATGTTATCTTTAGTTCCTCAATGTTATCATGGCTTTAGTTCCTCAGTGTTATCATGGCTTTAGTTCCTCAATGTTATCATGGCTTTAGTTCCTCAATGTTATCATTGCTTTAGTTCCTCAATGTTATCATGGCTTTAGTTCGTGAATGGTCTCATGGCTTGTGTTCCTCCCTGTTATCATGGCTTTAGTTCCTCAATGTTATCATGGCTTTAGTTCCTCAATGTTATCATGGCTTTAGTTCCTCAATGTTATCATGGCTTTAGTTCCTCAATGTTATCATGGCTTTAGTTCCTGAATGTTATCATTGCCTTAGTTCCTCAATGTTATCATGGCTTTAGTTCCTCAATGTTATCATGGCTTTAGTTCCTCAATGTTATCATGGCTTTAGTTCCTCAATGTTATCATGGCTTTAGTTCCTCAATGGCTTTATAATGTTATCGCTTTAGTTCCTCAATGTTATCATGGCTTTAGTTCCTCAGTGTTATCATTGCATTAGTTCCTTAATGTTAGAATGGCTTTATTTCCTCAGTGTTATCATGGCTTTAGTTCCTCAATGTTATCATGGCTTTAGTTCCTCAATGTTATCATGGCTTAAGTTCCTCAATGTTATCATGGCTTTAGTTCCTCAGTGTTATCATGGCTTTAGTTCCTCAATGTTATCATGGCTTTAGTTCCTCAATGTTATCATGGCCTTAGTTCCTCAATGTTATCATGGCTTTAGTTCCTCAATGTTATCATGGCTTTAGTTCCTCAATGTTATCATGGCTTTAGTTCCTGAATGTTATCGTTGCTTTAGTTCCTCAATGTTATCATGGCTTTAGTTCCTCAATGTTATCATGGCTTTAGTTCCTGAATGTTATAATTGCTTTAGTTCCTCAGGGGTATCATGGCTTTAGTTCCTCAATGTTATCATGGCTTTAGTTCCTCAATGTTATCATGGCTTTAGTTCCTCAATGTTATCATGGCCTTAGTTCCTCAATGTTATCATGGCCTTAGTTCCTCAATGTTATCATGGCTTTAGTTCCTCAATGTTATCATGGCCTTAGTTCCTCAATGTTATCATTGCCTTAGTTCCTCAATGGTATCATTGCCTTAGTTCCTCAATGTTATCATGGCTTTAGTTCCTCAATGTTATCATGGCTTTAGTTCCTCAATGTTATCATTGCCTTAGTTCCTCAATGTTATCATGGCTTTAGTTCCTCAATGTTATCATGGCTTTAGTTCCTCAATGTTATCATGGCTTTAGTTCCTCAATGTTATCATGGCTTTAGTTCCTCAATGTTATCATGGCTTTAGTTCCTCAATGTTATCATGGCTTTAGTTCCTCAATGTTATCATGGCTTTAGTTCCTCAATGTTATCATGGCTTTAGTTCCTCAGTGTTATCATGGCTTTAGTTCCTCAATGTTATCATGGCCTTAGTTCCTCAATGTTATCATGGCTTAAGTTCCTCAATGTTATCATTGCCTTAGTTCCTCAATGGTATCATTGCCTTAGTTCCTCAATGTTATCATGGCTTTAGTTCCTCAATGTTATCATGGCTTTAGTTCCTCAATGTTATCATGGCTTTAGTTCCTCAATGTTATCATGGCCTTAGTTCCTCAATGTTATCATGGCTTTAGTTCCTCAATGTTATCATGGCCTTAGTTCCTCAATGTTATCATGGCATTAGTTTCTCAATGTTATCATGGCTTTAGTTCCTCAATGTTATCATGGCTTTAGTTATCATTGCTTTACTCACTAGATTTCGACTTTCTTTCAGATATATGTTTAAACGTTTCGCACGCATGCCACTCTCATTCCCTTCAGTGAAAAACATTCCACTAAATTTAAATATGGATCCATCTGCTTAATTAGTTACTTACATAACTCATACCGAATAAACTAAGACCACATATAAGAGATAACACAATTATTAATAATATCTTCTATATTTGCAATGTGAAAGGTGGAACTATAAATTTAGAAGATCATCCACTGAGATGCTACGTCTGCTGTGCACAAGAATGGTTGTTCAAAATGTTGTACAAACTAAAGTGCATAAAGTGCATTTTGTTTAGTAAATGTAACCCATTTAAGATGCCTACATCGTTCAATCTATTCAAAATATTACATCAATACCATGGAAAAGTCATAATTGAATTTGCAGAGTACTGTTAATGTTTAGACGGATGCGGTTACAAGCGCAGCTCCAGCTGTTTCTGAGAAGCTAACATGAAAACATAGCGGAGAACACAAACTATCCCTTATTCACCATATCTCTTTTCAGTAATAGTTGATAAATAAAAAACACGCTAGGAAGGTACTATTCTCAACACTGCCCTTTTGATATGAATTAAAAATGACATGCAATGTTAGGGCAAACCCTGGTACTAACAATTATTTAAAGAGATATATATGTATGTGTATACGCAATAAAAGACATATACAACAGCTCCATACTTATATGTATGCAAAATCAACTTAACTGATAAGACGCAAACCAAGACTTGAATTCACGAAAAGGAGACTAGATTCAAGTTAGAACGACGACAATTACTTAATAAATCCA